AAGAAGTTCATATGGAAGAATATTTTTTGCAGGTTTGGGGTTCCCCCCAAATAATCCCCGACAACGGAAGGCAGTTTGACTGCGAAGCTTTCCGGCAGTTTTGCACAGAGTGGCGCATAGAATCCAGCCGGGTTGCGGTCTGCTACCCTCAGGCAAATGGACAGGTGGAGAACACCAATCGGACAATCGTCGATGGATTGCAAAAGAAGTTGGAGGCCCTCGGGACTGCCTGGATGGAGGAGTTGAACAATATACTCTGGACCTTCAGAACAACCTCAAGGAAGGCAACCGGAGAGGCCCCCTTTGCCTTGTGTTATGGCTTTGAGGCGAGGGCAATGTTCGAGGCCGTAGTCCCTAGCCGACGAATGGAAGAGTGTAACACTTGAGATTTAATATATATGAATTAATAGTACTACTCATACCAACAAGGTGCATCTTGTTTTTAGGGAGCTCATTAGCCAAGAACTCTAAAGTTAAGCGTGCTTGCACGGGAGTAGTCTTGGGATGGGTGACCACCTGAGAAGTTTCTCAGGGCGCGCACGAGTGAGGACAAACTGCGCGGAAAAGGCTAGTGGCAGTTTGTGAGGACATAACTAGAGGTCAGAAGCAACTACCTCGGGGCCTACGGGGCCGGGGTGTTACATACTCCCTCTTAGGGGTTGTTTACTTTTTTTCTCATTAAGTCTTGAATGGATTAAGACGTCTGTCTGCATTAAGGTGTCTGTCTGGATTAAGTTACACTAAGATAATAAGATGTTTACTAAGTGTGTTGAATGGGAAGTCTGAATCATGTCTAATGACCAAATAACCCTCCTGTCTGTATCAAGTGCTGAATGTATATTGTCTGTTTACTTTCTTGTTCTGAAAGATAAAATTTATATATCAGAAAATAATAATACTATGAATTACTTAAACAAAAGAGTCACATTGCATGATAAAATAAGATCAAGAGTTTCACGTGAACGACATTTTAAATTTAAACATTTCATACTAGTCTATTAGCGATTTCATCCCACAAATTCGTCAAAATGATGTTTATTCAGGAAATATGGGTTTGAGGGGACTTACAAATCGAATGAGTAGATTAAAAGTAATCAAATTGAATTCAAAAACCAAAAACGTGTGCAGTATATGACAAAAGTAATACGGAGTAGATTAAAAGAGTAATACCTAGACAGCTGGACTCTCAGGCCCTGTTTGGTTGGAGGGTTTCGGATAGGCTTGGATTCGGGTCGGGCCACCCGGTCCGTGGACCGGCCCAACCCGCTACTGTGCGGGACCGGGACCGGCCCGGTTCTCGGTTCCGGGTCCGGGTCGGGCCTAGGCCCGGGGGTAGGGCGGGTTCGGACTCGGGTCTCAATTTTGATGAACTGGCCCGGTTGGGTCGGGTCCAAGTCCGGGCCAAATTGATTTTTTTTTTTTTTTTTTTCATTTTTGGGGTTCCACCCGGGTTGGGCTTGATGAGTAGGATGGGTTTGGGGGGTTTGGGAGGGTGGGGGTGAGGGGGATGGGTTAGGAAAGCAAAAAAAAAAACCAAACCGGAGGCCCGGCCCGGACCCGGACCGGACCCGGTGGCTACCCGGGCCGGTCCCGGGTCCACCATTCTTGAACCGCCGGCCTGCCCGGGCCTAGGCCCGACCTGGACCCGGCCCGGACCCGAGTCCACCCCTAGTTTCGGAGGGGAGGAGAGGAAAGCGGAGGATTTGTGTGTGTTTGATTGAAGGAAATAAGGGGGAAGGGAAGGAAAGTGGAAGGCTTTCAAAATCCCCCACTTCCTCCCATTCTAAACCCCCCAAATTGGGGTATTTCGGAGGAAACGTGTTGATGACCACAAACTATCCATCTCCTATGTGAATGAACAAAACGTTATAATATAAAAAGGTAAAAAACAAAAAGTTTTGAAAAATTTAAAAATTTTAAAAATTAAAGATTAAAAAATTTAAAAATTAGAAATAAAAAAATTAAAAATTTAAAAATTTAAAAAATTAAAAATTAAAAATTTTAAAAATTAGAAATAAAAAAAATAAAAAATAAAAAAAATTAAAAAATAAAAAAATAAAAAAATAAAAATTCTAAACTGAAAAATGAAAAATTATAAAATTAAAAAAGTAAAAAATCAAATAAAATAAAAATATGACTCATGACCATAGGAGTAATATTCACAATAGTTAGACATGTATCTATTTTTTTAAGTAAGCTATCAAATAAAAGTAAATTGTGAAAATATTTTCATTAAACCTTTCCTCCTATTTCTTCCAACCAAACACAATTTTTTATCAAAATTCTCCCTCCCCCCTCCCTTTCCTTCCCTCCTTGACTCTCCCCTTCTCTCCCATCCTTTGAACCAAACAAGGCCTTAGAAGGATGGAGGCAGGCAAGATTGGGTGAGTCGGTCAAATTAAAACCGTTTTGTCAATCTCGAAGAAAGCTAGACTCTGAAGTTGTGAAGGTTGATGCGATTCGGAGATGGCTTCACTTGGCCGCCGTAGAAGAGGTTAGCGTAGAACAAGTTAATTAGCGAGGAAGGGAACGGGGGTTAAAAAACTATTGGGGATACATACCTATGTCTGAATGGTAAGGAGCGTTGAATTTGAGCTGAACCAATAAGGCAAAAATCGTCTGAGCTAATAAGTCATCTTTTCAATTAAGTCCTAAGTAAACACGAATATATAGCTGTCTGAATAAGTCACGGTTATCATTCAGGTCATTAAGTCAAAAGTAAACAGCCCCTTAGCCGAGTCTACTACTCGACTAAGGGAGTGGGGGACTCATGATGGGGGTTATGGGACTAGGCCCAGAGCCTAATCGGCCCAGAGCCTAATCGGCCCAGGCCCCGGACTTGTACCAGCATGCCCAAGCTCAACAACCGAGAGCTCGAGTCGGCCCAATCGATCAGGCCAAACAAGGAGCGGAAGCCTAAGAGAGCCTATCGTCCAGCCCGACGGGGAGCCTGCCTTCCAGCCCGGCCAGGAGCCTGCCTTCTAGCCCGGTAAGCGGCTTGCCTTCCAGTCCAGTCAGGAGTCTGCCTTCCAGCTCGGCCAGCGGCCTGCCTTCCAGCCCAGCCACAAGCCTGCCTTCCAGCCCGGCCAGCGCCCTGCCTTCCAGCCCAGCCAGGAGCCTACCTTCCAGCCCGGCCAACGGCCTGCCTTCCAGGAGTTCCAGCCCAACGGAAGTCTGCCGCACGAGGAGCTCAAGCGTTCTGTCTGCCAACCATGCCGACCTGCCAGCCAACCAGAAAGAGTAACGGCCAACAATCAATGCACTATTAATTATGTATTTAATTTCGTATTAATGTTGTAATTAATTTAGTCATCATTATGTTCGGCAGTTATCGTTTGTAGTCGCCTATAAAAGGCAATTCGAATTTCAAATACAGATATGTTATTTCCGGCTACCGATTTCCCTTTGCAACTTTCCATATTCGTACTTTCCTAATTCTTGCTTGAGTGTCGTACGTAGCTTTCCTAAAAGCCTACGAGCGTCCTATTTTGGACCAACACTACTAACGTTTACGTTTAAAAATAAAAAAAATTCAAACACTGTCAACTTTTACTATTAAGCGCTTTTCCCAAAATCACTTTAAAACCCCACTTTTTTAAGCAAAAGCAATTGCAAGCACTCCCTTAGCCGGTGTGAAAACGTTGTTTAGAAAATAGGAGGCCGTTTGGTGGTCATGTTTTTCGGCTTATCAGCCTTATCAATCAACATTTTCATCATAACCCCATAACTTTTGATTTCACGCGCCGAATTATGTAATAATCAAAATAAGTAAGATGAAAGTTACTTTTGTAGCTGCATTGGCTGAAGTTACTTTAAATGATTATTTGAACTATTTTTCATATAATCTTTTCTTTATTTGATTGATAACATTTTTTTTTCTTTCAAAAATCAGTAGAATCAGCCAATCCAGATAGTTCAGCCATAACTTCATAAATTTCGGCAGAATCAGCCGATTCAGTCAATTTCAATGTTACCCAACGTGATCTAGATGCTCAGTTAACGTTTTTTAACAAAATCACTGAAATGAAAACGCTGCAAATGAGAGAATTTTGAATTAGTGTTTAAAAAAACATTTTCTACCAATTGTTATGATCAAACGGCTGAAGTACCAACATCTTCTTGCAGCGCGTCCAATATATTTTGCTAGTCAAACACACTTAGAGCTTGGCCAAATGAAACTCCCTCCGTCCTGAAAAAGTTGGCCAAATTTTCTTTTTGGATGTCTCAAAAAGATTTGTCATTTCCATTAAAAGTAAGGAATATGTGGCTAAAATTAATTCTCTCTCTTCTGCACAAATTTCAACCACACAGTTTTTACTTTATTAATCAACGTGAAAGTCAACTTTGACCAACCTTTTTGGGACGGAGAGAGTATTTTGTATTGCACGTGGGATAGAAAAAAACGACCCTAGACTGCACTCACAAATGTGACCGATCCAAAAACCGAATCGAAATCTGAAACCGGACCGGGATCTGTGACCGACCCGGAAACCAAACCGTTCTTGTTTTTCGGACAATAAATATCCTGTAGTTGAACCAACTTTGAATAAAAGGATCAGGAGTAGCTTTCTCTTTCCAGAGTACTTCACCAAGTTTTTTCCATTTTTGGTCCCCCGACTATTATGTTAATGACACTTTTGGTACTCGGCTTCTAATTTTTTCATTTTTAGTCATCGACTATTGTGCTAGAGACAATTTTAGTCCCTGACTTCAAGATTTCCCACATTTAGTCCCTGAGTATTGTCAAATCGACACTTTTAGTCCTCTCATTATGATTTTGACACAATACGTGGAGGAATACAAATGTCACTATTGTAATAGTTGAAGGACCAAAAGTGTCACTTTTATGAAAGTTGAAGGACTAAATATGAATATTTTCAAAAACGGATATCAAAAGTGTATCTAACGCAATAGTCAAAGACTAAAAATGGAAAAAATAAAAGTCGAGTAATAAAAGTGTATCTTCAATTTTCACCAATGGACAAAAGTAACAAAATGACATAACAGTAGCACTAAAAGTAGGAAAAACTCTACTTCCCCGTCCATTCTTCCATTTCACCTGCGGATTTACCAGAGCCAGATTTTGCCAAGCCCCCTGTGAGTTCACACTTCACAAGTTCCTCCGGCAAGTGACGACGGCGCCATGAAGCTCAGACTCAGATCATCCGTCACCAAAGAAACCGTACGGATCGACGTCCCTCCTTCTTCCACCCTGCTGGAACTCAAACACCGTCTTTCTCAGGCACTTCCCGCATCATCAGCCGTTTCCTCGTCGTCTTCTTCAGATTACATTCGCCTATCGCTCAACAATAAAGACGAGCTTCAAAGTTCTTCACCCGATGACACTCTCCCGATGCTAGGTGTTGCCTCGGGTGACCTAATCTTCTTCACCACAACTCCCAATCCTCAAGGATCATCAAAATCCCCAACTTCCTCTATCCCAGGTTCTATTTCCCCGGTAGAATCGACCAAGAATTATAACACGTCTAACTTGAATGAGAAAACACAAGAATCGAGTTCTAATTTCCCGGTCGATTCTCCTGAGAAACCAGATTCCGTCAAGCAGAACGAAAAAGAATCAAATTCGAGTTCTGATTTGCAGGTAGAATCGTCCACCGAGAACGAGAAAGCCCTAGAGTCCCTTCACCCTGGAAAAGGAGAAGAGGGGGAATTCATGGAAGTCTACTGCGAAGAAAAAGACTCGAGTTCAATTGAAGTTGCGGCTGGGAAATCGTTTTCAATTCCTGGATTCTTGAAAAAAGTCTTCACGGAAGAGTTGAGAAATGACGACGATGGTAGTAAAGATCACAAACTTTTAATGGTTGCTGTTCATGCTGTTCTTCTTGAGTCTGGTTTTATCCGTTTTGACCCAATTCTGCATAAAAAGATGATTGGACTTCAATCACCAAACCAAAGAGGTACCGATCTCTATTACACACTGCTTGACATTGTTCATGACCAGAAAAGTAATACTAATACCATTCCCTATATGAAACTCAAGCTTCAAACCTTGGGGAAGCTTGTGATCATTTATGGTTCACTATCATCTGGCAGATCCTCTATACATAATGTGGAGCTGAACGAAGGAGACCTGGTCCCAATCTTGAATGTTGCATGGTCTCAATGTGGGTTATCTGAGGAAATAATTCCTCCAGGTACGGATGGCCTTTTATGGACATCACCAGAGAAAGAGATTTTTCAGTTCTGGAGGACTGTTAAAGATAGACTCGCATTGCCATTGTTGATTGATATGTGTGAGGTGGCTGGTTTTAGACTTCCTCCGTGCTTTATGAGACTCCCCACTGAACTTAAGTTGAGCATCTTGGAGTTACTGCCTGGCATTGATTTGGGAAAGATGAGTTGTGTCTCTTCAGAGTTAAACTACTTGATTTCAAATGAAGAACTTTGGGAAAAGAAGTTTGTGAGTGAATTTGGCAGTTGGGATACTTCTGTTAGAATTCAAGATTGGAAGCGAAAGTTTAAGCTAGCTTTGGGACTCCAAAAGTCCAGGAGGGTGAGTACTGAACGGCTCAGAAACAGAAGAAGATTTTCCGGATATGCAGGTCCGTTTATTCCTCCACGGCAGCCGGTAGGTATTGGAGGTTATAATCCGTTGCTACCACCACCATTTGGGAATATCCATTATGTTGATAATAATATTCTCCCTCCGAGTCGTTCGGGTAGCCATGTGCCTCGTTGTGATCCTAGATAGCATTTGGAACACATGATTTTCTGCTTAGTCATGGTCACGAGACAAAAGAATCTTTTCTTGTTCAAGTTGGAGTTGATTTGTTGTTACGAGAATATATGATGGCACATCAATATTTGCTCTCTTAGTATTATCTTACGGGCTCATATGTTGCTATTGTTTTGATGCATTGTACTATGGAAGTTTTGTATAAAACTCTTTGTTTTCATATCAAGATTTGGTTTTTGGACAGAATGCAGTATAGCAGACACAATGTAAGTAGCTACAGATTTGTGCATTGATGCCTTCTTCTTGGATAACGCATAATGAGCTTTACTTGCTGAACAACATCTATATCTATATATTATTAAGTCAATTAAGTCATTCTCCCGCCTAACCTTTTAGGATATTTTAGTAAATTTACTTATCCCTTCATCAACCCATCCACTCGGTTACTGGCTTTCGTTTCTTCCTTATCTTTCCTATTTCAGAAGTTCCTGTCGCTCTCAAATCCTCCTCAAATCCTCCTCCTATATGGCTCTCACAGGGTGCTTCCTTCTGCACGCGTGCCACACAATTACACAATTGAATTGCTTACTTCATTGGGTATGGCTGGGCTCCCAGGAATCGCAGTCAAGGAAGAGATATCCGGCACAGTTGCACCATACTTGGATTTTCCAGAGGGCATGGTGGAATAGCAGGTAGCCTTGGTGGATTTGACTGTTCTGGCAGCTGGTGGTACTGCCGTTCCTTTTGACTTTTGCATCAATAGACTGCCGGTGCTGAAAGGCTCCATTTATTTTTGGCAAGAGGAGCTACATCTATTCAGAGCACTATCATCAATTTCGAAGAAAACCAAGCCGTATGTTTTGTTATTTTCTTTTGCTTTATCCCTAATTATTCAGTTGTTAGTTTAAAACACCTCTATATTGTATATGTAAGATATTTAATACACAATGGGATGATCTCTACTACAACTAGATAATTATACTTTTGTGGTAAATCACATTCTTTGTCACCATAGAAGGTATTCTTTTTATGAAGGTTTTATTTCCAGGTTTTGTATAACACAATGGGACACCCTTATCTCATATTTGTACCTTGCTTAAGCCTTTGAATCTTATGGTGTGAAAGATTTCCTGTTTCAAACTGTCACACATTAAATATCAAAGAAGGCTTTGTTTTAAAGCCTTAGAAGAAATATCTAAAGAATTACATTTTTACCCTTTTTATTTCACATTTTTATTCATGTATGGATGTTTCATGTGTTAATTTGGATGTCAGAAGAAGTTTCATGATGGAGATGCATAACATCTGTGATTTTTGTTACTTAGTTTGAATCTTTTTCATTAAATTGCTCTGAAGGTATTCTTTGTCACCTTAAATGAAAAAGTTTAAGATTTGCTATCTAATGAATTAGCTATCTTTTATTAAACTGCTGCTTAATCTTAGTTTATGGTTCAACTCTACTAAGTAAAAGTAAGAAATAATGGCTTATATATTACTAATATAAAGTTGATAGACAAAAATGTGAACTCTAGAAGTTACTATGGTTATGTTCAGTTTTAGACCGTAGTGACCATGACATTATACTCATACCAAGTTACCAACTTTATTTGCATTTCTAACTATAACTTTTGTTTAAGTAATATTTTAGGGGGAAACCTCTATAAATAAATGAATTATGTCTCTTGAAGTTAAGCTCGCAATATTCTGGCTCTTCAAGATTTTCTGAGCCATTTTTTAGTTTAGTTTAATTCATTAGATAGCAAATCTTAAACTTCTTCATCTATGGTGACAAAGAATACCTTCAGAGCAATTTAATGAAGAAAATTCAAACTAACGAAATAACACAAATCACATATGTTATGCATCTCCATCATTAAACTTCTTCTGATCCAAATGTGAATAACTTCAGGATTGAAGCTATCAAAATGGTGTATTTATAAGAATTGTACACCTGAAGGATTATTGATCACATTCAATGTGATCAATAATGTTTTGTATGTTCTTTATTTAAGAATTTGCACTCAAATCCTTTTATGTTACTAGCTAAAGTGGTAGATGTGAGAAAGAGTTGAAGTTGCTGAAAAATGATTAAAATAGATTTAATGTTTTCAAATCTTCAGTTTTTTCTTTAATAGGTTCGGATTCCGTTTTTTTCTCTTCAGATGGGATTCTCTTTTCATTTTCTTTTTTTCTATTATAAGGTACATGGAGTGCGGACGGGCGGTTATCCCTTATGATAAGGTACATGGTGTAATAAAGAGCAATAAGATCCTTTCCGAGTTTTTATATTGCTTGACTAAAATACTTTTGAGTTTGTTGCTACTTCATGTAGCTTATCTCAGTCTCTAACCTGTTTGTTTTTTTAATTCTATGTAAAAACAATGAAAGACGACCTATGCATTTTATCAAATGTGATCTATATGTAACAGGTTTGTTTCTTTTGCAATCCAGTTTTACAGAGAACATGCAATGTGAAGTACAAAGGATAAAAATGTAATTCTTTAGATATTTCTTCTAAGGCTTTCAAATAAAGCCTTCGTTGATAACATTGATAACATTACTTGTGCATACGCACGGGTAAGATGAGTTTGCATACGCACGGGTAGTTCTGTTACTTCAAAAAAATCCATTGATGAGTTACGTCTCATGGCCACTACTCATAAAAGTTCTTGGAGAAAGTAAACAGATACAGCTTATCATTTGCTGAACTAACATTTTTGGACGTGGAAATGCTACTGCTATACACATTCTAGCATAGATCATGTTGTCACTTACAAAGGGGTTTATTTTCTTTATCTTTAATGGATTATACACAAACACAGGAATGGGTTGTTTGACTCAGTTGCAAGAGGTTATTTACATGTGTTTGACCTTTCTTTAGTTTCTTTAACTTTAGTTTGCCTTTGAACTTTATTCCAATTCCTCTCCGTGTTGTGTATTTGCTAAACTTTATTAGCTGGCTGATGAATTTGGAATGATCCTAAAGAGGACTAAAAGGAAAAACAAGGTTGATAAGAACTTATGATACTGGTCTAATTTTTGTATTATGGAATTGAAATAGAAAGCAAAATATAATAACCTAGAGGCTTTTCTTGTGATGCAGACTTTGTTAGGTAGTCAGACTTTCTTAGGCGTAGAACGTTGGTTTTTGGTTTCAAGTTTCAAACATCTCCAGATTTTCTAAATTAATTAATTTGATCACTTGATATACTATATCCAACAACTATTGATTAATAGAGATTCCTTAATTTTGTTTACAAAAGTTTAAATTTTATATTAATAACCTTGCTTTTAATTTGATCACAAACATCTTGGCTATCCACTTTCCATTTTATATAAAAATTAGTTGTATTGTTTGCCATCTAAAGGTACATCCTTGATCTGTGACTGTGGGCATGTCTCTTGGGCAGACAAAAGAACTTGATCAGTTTATTTGCTCTGATTGTTTATCCGATGAAAATGTGAATTACTTCCGGATTTATAGTATTCTTCTTCAACAATAACTAATTAAAATGTAGGTCTACAATCCTTTATAATCCTTTAGGGATGGACCCATGGACCGGGTCCGGGCCGCCCGGCCCGTGAACTGACCTGGCCCGCTACTGCGCGGGCCCGTACCAGCCCGTTTTTGTGTAACCGGGGCCAGGCCTAGGCCCGTCCCGGGGATTGGGTCGGGTCGGGTAGGGGCCTAAGAACAAGTGAATCGGCCCGAGCCGGGCCATTTTTTTTTTGGGTTTTTCTAAATATTTGGGAGGTAAATGAGTTGTATTGGGTGTTTTGTAGGGGTGGGGGTGGGGGTAGGAAGTAATTAGAAGAAAAAAAAATAGGGGATCCGGCTTGACCCGGCCCGACCCAGGCCTGGTAGCTACCCGGGCCGATTCCGGACTTCAAATTCTAAAAAAGCCTGATTGGGCCCGGCCCGGTACTCGGCCCTGATCGGGCCCGGTCCATCCCTAGGTTATCTCCTTCATAGTTCATTATTATGAGAGATCTGCTCACAAGAAAGGATGTGACCGAGTAGGTTACGTACTAGTGTACGAGAATTATTTAGTGGCCCTTATTGGACTCAAAAGTCTTTGGGCTAGCCTTATTGGCTTAATGTATTGAATAGTAGTTTAAATTTATTGTTTTTTTAAATGGTCGGTTTGTTTTGGTTTTCGGATAAACCAACTTGAAAATCGGTTCCCAACACATTGGGACTCATGGTATGAGCGGTTCGGTTTCGGTTATGCTTATTTACACAACCGATATATCGGTTCGGTCCTAGGATGCTCTGGATTGGTTCGGGACCCGAACCGAATCCAACCCTACATTCAATGTGATATTTAATATGTTCTTTATTTAAGAATTTGCACTCATATTCTTTATGTGACCTGCTAAAGTGGTAGATGTGAGAAAGGGTTGAAGTTGCTGAAAAATGATTAAAATAGATTTAATGTTTCTAAATCTTCAGTTTTTGCTTTAAAATTAATAGTTTAACAGTAGTTATTATTAACATGTCACTAATGGTGTTGCCATAAGTTATGACCAATTATTTGCTTCTCAATTTTTTTAGACATGCATAATTAATGTTGTTGCGTATTTGAAAATAAGTTATGCTAGAACAAAGTTACGCCTTACGGTTTCGCTAGTGGCGGGGTCAGAAAATCATGTTAGAGGTTCGACTTAGTCACATCTAATATTAAAAGGTCGCATCCTTTTGAGATAAAATTTAAGTTGAGTAATTCATATATAGGTGAAATAAACATAGTTTAAATGAGTCCGGAGAATGATTGATTTCAATTTCATATATATACATAAAATCTAATAAATTTCGCATAGTTTAAGGACTGAGTAAGACATTATTTTTAAAATTCGGGAATATAACTAGTATCTTTACCCGTGCCGTGTACGGGATAAAATGATTTTGTTTTTTAATACTAAACGGAATTGAAGCTTTGGCAGGAGGATATAGCAAGGATGGAAACTAGAGAATTCCATCAGCTACAATTTTATTTCTATTGCATTTTTTATTTCAGACTAAATTTACTCGTTGTTTTTGTTTCACACAATAAGGGGAGCGGGTTCTTGTTTTGCTTTGCGGACATTAGCCGCAGTTTATTTTGTTATTTTTTCATTATTCAGTTTAGGTTTGTGGGTGGAAACGATAAGGCTTGTATGACCGGTAAAAGCTTTGAAGCTCTCACATGGTTAGCGAATAGTCTCGCTCTTCTTAGGGTGGTCTATTCTGTGTCTAGTCAGAGAGTGGGAGGGTCGTTTGGCTACACGGAGCCTCATAGAGAGGTTTGACGTTTCTCGATTGTGGGGTTGTTATCATCTTTGATTGCTATAATATAAATGGTTTCCTTTCAAAAAAAATCCACTAACGAAAAATCACTTATTAGTCAATTACTCCGTATAATTTTGGTTTAAAATGCATATTCTCATTTATTAGTATGCTTTATTTTTGAACTAATTATCTAAACATGTTTCAGTCTATATTTTCCAATGAAAAGAACATATGTTTTTGACATGCACTTTGTCGTGATGAGCGTCAAAATAATAAATCAATACAACGATTATACGTAGTATAACGAAGTAAGGTTCGTATCCACAGGGAAAGGAATACTTCTCTTTTATATAAATAGTAACAAGGGGGGTTTTAAGTTAGATTTTATTTAATTTAATTAACACTAAGATGAATGACTTGTTTGAGTTTAATTAATAGAGATGAGGACTTGGTTTTGCTTTTATCCACTTAATGAAATGTTCGTCGATCCCGGTTATATCTTTAACTATCTTCCTCTTGAATACTCAATCGAGGAGTATATCCAATTCATCGAGGATAGTTATTAATAACGAGACGCGTTCATCAATAAAAGTTACTACCGAGTCAATATAGAACATGCGCCGTATATTAACCCGATAGTAGCAATAAACTTAAGATGAAAACGATTGAGATTGATAACCTCAATACAATTAATTTCCCTTAGATTATTAACCATGAGACGCATGCACTAATAATCCAAGTTTACTACCGTTGAATGAACCGAATTAATAACAAGCGTATTAATCGATTGATTCTAGTAATAATTAATATATGAAACAAAACTAGTTGATCTTTTAAGTAATGCTTAAAATATTAATATGAAATATGAATAGAAAGTAATTAATATTCAAGGAAGAAGAGTAAAGAAAATAACTCACAACTTACAATTCTTTAAGCTTCAAAGTAGCAAAACTAAGATGGAAGAGTTTAGCTCCTCATTTGGAGACTAAACATGATGAAAATATAAAGAAAGAACTTGTGAACTGAGCTTAGAAGTATATGTGAATTGATGATCTTTTTGTGAAGGAAAAGGGGTGTATTTATAGGTGTTTGGAGCATGCAGGGGTGTGTACCCGATCAGGCATACAGGGTACCCGATGGGTACCTTCAGAGGCTTCCCGGAAGCTGCAAAAGTGGACCATATCCGGTCGGGTACGTCGGTTGCCCAATCAGGTATGGACACTCGAACGTGATCAAAATCTCCCCTGCATGTCCTTTGTCCAGGATTCGATCCGATTTTCAAAAACAAGTGAATGCTCGATCGGTATAGGTCATACCCGATCGGGTACAACCCAAAATTGCAATCTTCTCTTTTTTGTCTTGCTTTTTTTGCACATTCCTTCCACTTTTGGGGTTCACCAATGGTCATTTGATTGATCATGGACCCGTTTGAGCTCAGAATAAATCTAATCTAAACAAATTACAAACATTTTTACAAACTAAACTATTACACCAAAAGTGTGTAATTTCCAAAGTAACGATCAATCAAAATTAATTAAAAACACAAACATAAACATGGAAATTACATGATTATCGGTTTTATACCTCTCGGGTGCATCGAAGTGAAATTGATCTGTTTTTACCTAAACAAAAAGAAAATACTCAATACCTATTTTTATCCATTAAATTTCATGTGTGGCTTTTTTTCTCTCCAAAATTAACTACACATTGTTGTAATTTAGTTATCTAAAAACAGGTGTAGTCAATTTTTTTAAACTATTAGCCTTTATAGGTTTTAGAAATTTTCAAATTAGTCTTTTGACCTCTTTCTTTAAGAAAAGAATTTAGAATATATAATTTTGTGACATTGCGATTCTAATGAAGGCAATGGCGGCGACAATAGGCTGCATATTGTAATTGAAAGCGATCGATATATTTTTCATTAGATTGAGTTGTTGAGGGTGTATATGATCTTATTAAGTAAAATAATTGTTATTGAACAAAGAAAAGTAGCATGCTTTTGACTTTTAATAGTCAAAACATAAACACGTCAAGATGAATAAAACCTAGAAAAAAGATTCTAATCATATCAAGAGATAGCTATAATCGAAACACAAACACGTCAAATTATGCAATGAAAAATAAAAAGACAAACGCCCCATATACAAAGTCCAGGTTATTTATCTAGCTCTCAAACATCACTTTTAGTGTCACGATACGATTGTCATATATGTAATTACTACAACTTTCCGAGAGCTGAAACTTTCGGCCAAAATATATCAAGATTATATTAACATGTACACTATAGCAAAAGTAACTTTAACTTTAATAAGTGAGATCGAAAATTTGGTTCCAATTGAAAATATCTTTAATTAGAAAGGTGAACATTTTACCCTTGTCATTGCGTGTTTTTGTTTTTATTCTACTGAGATTTATTTACATCATGTGAAAGTGAAAGTTGATTTTTACTTCAATGTATCATGAGCATTGTGATTATTTTTCATTTTCAAAATGAGGGGCAAACTCATTTATATTTTTATTTTTATTTTCGTTGCATAAATTTGAGATAACATTAAGACAAATTTATATTTAGCAGGTTTTAACACATGCAATCTTGCCATTAAACACATGAACACATCTAACCTTTTTTTGAAATACTTTTAAGATTTGTTTTTCTCAATTTGAACGTTATCAAGGAATTACTTTTTGTGCTTTCTTGTATAATTTTTAAAATCCATTTTTTCATTTTAGTACCAAATCATGTGTCATCATCTCAAATTTTGGCGAAAAATAAAATTTTACTCATGAGTACTTTTAAAATATGAATGATTAGCTTCATAATGAGTTAATTAATTCCAACTTTTACTCCTGAATACGTTAAGTAGATTTATTGAATTTTAATCTAATATATATGGAGTTCTAAGTTTAAGGACTCCATTAAAAACATTTTTATTTGGATTGTTTTTTGTTTGATTTATCTATTCTGATCGAATCTGGTTTGACGTTTATGATCTGATCTGGTCAAATCATATTATCTGGGATATTTTGTTTAGCTCTTTTTGTCAAACGGATTTACCTCATCATATTAACAGATGCAACATTTCAAAATTCAGCTCTAGATAATAGTGTCTAGTTCAGACAATAGCTTTTGTTTCAGACATTAGCATCCACCTACATTTCGAAGTGTCTATCATAACCCTAATCGGACACGACAAATATTCCATAACTCTTAATTGTATTTTTAAAATTATTGAAAAAAAGTATTAAAAATAAGTTTTTAAAAATTGCTATACTTGTTTTACATTTGGAAAACATGCACCTAAAGTTAATTACTCATTACATATAACACTATATGTGTATTACAAAGAATTAATCAAAATATTACTTTCAAAATATAAAAATAATAAGTATAAATCATGAAAACTTTTCTGTGTTCAATTAGAATCCAAAGGACCCCACCAAAATAAATTTCCATTTTTATTTTAATGTGATACTACTCCGTGTCAGTAACATTGGGACATGAGGAGTGACATGGTCATTAAGAAAAATGAGTTTATGTGGTTGACATCTAATTGATAAAGTAAGAATAAAGTAAAAATGATTTAGAACAACACAAAATTTGCCAAATTTATTATGAGATAATGTTAGTAAAATTTAATGAAAAAAATGAAAAAATAGGACAATCTTAGCGGGATGAAGGGAGTATAACTTTTTTTTATATGTACTCCAATTGTTACAAAAAATGGATCAAAATTCTTAATTTTTTATTATCTTTAATATGACACCAATACTGAGTATAAAAAATAAAAAATAATAATTTAACACTTTAAATCATTTGTTTTTTAAGTGTTGTAACATTTTTATTTGTAACACTTCAAAAGTAATTACCCTAAATAGGACTAAAAATGTTTGTAAATCCAAAATAGGAATATCATGTTTTTATTCTCAAAATAGGACTAATTATTGCTATGTTTTGGCAATACCAGACTTTAAACATGGCAGTAATTACTCCTATTTTGGGAATAAAAACATGACATTCCTATTTTGGAATTTCCAAACTTTTTTACTTATATTTCGGGAATTTTCCTTAGTTCCTGAAATAGGACTAAAACGGTTTGAAATTTCTAAAACAGGAATGTCATGTTTTTTATTCTCAAAATAGGACTAATTACTGCCATTTTTAGAAAATACTGTCATGTTTGAAGTCTGGTACTGCCAAAACATGACAATAATTAGTCCTACTTTGGGAATAAAAACATGGCAGTCCTATTTTGAAATTTTCAAACTGTTTTAGTCATACTTCGGGTAATATTCTCAAAATAGGACTAATTACTGCCATGTTTTGGCAGTACCAGACTTCAAACATGACAATATTTTCTAAACATGGCAGTAATTAGTCCTATTTTGGGAATAAAAAACATGACAATGCTATTTTGGAATTTTCAAATTGTCTTAGTTTTATTTCGGGAACTTTCCCTTTAAAATTGATACAGAGTATAACTTTTTCATTTGTAATTCGATTTTATTAAAAATATATCAAAATTCATGATTTTTATTATATTTCATATGACACCAATATTGCACATTATTAATTTATAAAAAATAAAATAAATGTACAATCAATGGAGATTATAATCGGTTAAATAATTGATTTTTCTTTAGTTATAATTACTCATACAATTTAGGAAAATCACTCATTTGGGTAAGTGACCGAGCTCGACTAGAGAAATACATAGTATGTAGTACTCCTTACTACGTAATATGTACTTGCTCCTTACCTTAGGTTAGATCAACACGAACATAATAAAGAAAAAATTATGTTTTTGAATTTTGTATAGACTCGAAAAAATAACTGAAATTCCATATTAATCGATCCAAAGAAATACCAAAATTTTCTGAGTTAGCTGACTATAGACTGAACTTATCTCATGGCGGCAAAACTGATATTGTACTCAGAGTCCCACTCTTCACCCTGCAAAATCCTCTCTACCAACCGCTTCAATCTTCTACCGCGCATAGCCATTCTCCATCTTCCTCTCCAAGGAACCCGTTCTCCCATCCCTCGAGCTTCTAGAGCTTTCTCCTCTCCATATCGGAGTCCACGTCGCGGCGGCCAACCAGATATAGTAACAGGTGACTATGATGTTGACGAGGATGACGACGAGGAGGATGAAGAAGAAGAAGATCGAAGTTTAGATCTTTTGGTAAAACTCGTTCAGAATGTTTTCAGAAACGTCTCGAGGAAAGCTAGGAAAGCCGTTCGATCTGTTTTGCCCGTCTCCTTTCCTAGCCAATTGGTAACTTTCTTGTTCTCTGTATTGGGTTCACATTAATTACCTATACGTGTAATTTGAATAGCTTACATAGATTTAGTTTGGATAATAGGTTAATTCATCTGTAAAGATATAAGGATTCAAATTCACCTATCAAATTGACTTATTAATTCCAATTATTAATATGGTACCATAGACCTTAGTCAATTAACTCAAACAAACGAGGACATTAATTTGAAGATTAATCTATGTCACCCACCAAATATTAAGATAGAAGAATGCAGATAATAAATCATGCTTACATTTCCTTGATTTTGAAGAGTTTCCCATGTTTGGATTTTGATCTTCCACAGAAGTTGCGTAGTACATGGATTTTGAGTTTGGGCCTGGATCATTATAATTTGTTCTATCCGGTCAATCTCAAAATAACACGGATAGTTGTTAGTTGGTGAAATATGGCGTGAGCCATATGGCTACATGAAGACCCCTCGCCACAAAAACCTTTGATGGCGGCGATGACTGTATGTGTGGTGGCGCCATATTGGCGCGATTGCCACGCCATCACTTAAAACAGATTCTAAAATGTTATGTAGTTACTTTTAGGTTTTGGGCCTGATCATTAATTAAGCAGTCAACCTTATAACATGACTCTGATTACTAATTAACCAATTAAGCAATCAACCCATAATATTAATAACAATCCTAATAAGAAGTGAATAAAGACACCAGCTGGCATAAAGCCACAAAAGAGCTGTGCAAGTAATGTAAAGATGAAGATGAAGATGAGATGGAAGATCCTTTTGAGAGTGAAATGAAATTGAAATGAATGAGGATGATGTTCCATTGTTATAAGATTCAAATCTAGATGATGATGATGAGTGTGATAATGGATGACGATTATATCATAATCATCATACACAAACATATTGACATAAATAGGAAGAAATGATGTTTTTGGATATTAAGTTGTTTTTGAAACTACTTTGAACGATTTTAACTTCATATGTTTTGATTGGAATGCGGGTATTCAACTTTTTCGCTCATTTTTTGGTGGTTGAATCGTAGACTTATAGTGTCTTTAGTTCATATTATTAGTATTTGATTTTCATATCATGTGGTGACACCATAAATGCGCCGTTGTCATCACCATTGCCTTGGCGCCATGACTGCCGTTGTGCACTATGCAAACTATGATAAAACGAAGCCAACATTGGTTATGAAGAGTTCTTTTGGTAACACTGGAATTGGTGGAATCGACTGATTATGCTGAAATTGATTAAGTTCTAGTGAAAGCGGTTGAATTGACTGAATTTGATGAATTATGAATAAATTATATTTAAATTATCTTTTATTAATAAAATAAAGAAAAAATATATGAAATAATAGCTAAAATGATCTTCTACAGCGAGTTATACCAATTCAGCCAGGAAATTAACTCCAATCTCACTTATTTTGATTATTGCATAGTTCTGCGTGCGAAATCAAAAGTTATGTGTTTGGTGAAAAAGTTGACGGATAAGGCTGATTAGCCGAAAACACGGGTCACAAATGGGCACCAAGTATTGATCACTTTAACCAAGTGTAAACCTTCAAAAGAAGCTCTAAGAAACCTTCACAAACGAGCATAACAGAATACACCAGCCCCAAAGATTTGCCCGAATTACTTTTAGGTGTAAGTTCTCGCAAAAAACATGATTACAAGGTTTTGTGCCGATTTCCTTCGTGCCCCAACCTTCTAAGAGACTAAGAAGGAACACGAATGTGAATTTCAGCATCATTCAGGGAAAATATCATGAAACAGTGAAGAGTTGAGATGGTGATGGTGAAATAGTGAACATGGTTGCTATGTTCATGTCCAAATAGATGTTGTAAATGAACACGCACATCTTGTATTATCCTGTAATATGATTAGTTTTGTGCTTTCGCTGTTCTCTAAAATATGGTGGATTTCTATCATCACTTGTGCCTAGCAAAAGCTTCTTATTCTGTAGTGATGGGTCCGCATGAATCCCTTTTCAATAGATGAATCACCGTAGTTTAGGGGTTTTACACCTTTGTTCTCCCATAATTCAATTCGAAGTTTAATAGTATGCTCATGAATGATCTTCACTGGTTGCAGGTTGGGTTTTCTGTTAATGGTCTCGTAATCCTGACATTTTTATGGGTTCTGAAGGCCTTTCTCGAGGTAATCATATCCTTTCCCGTTTTCTGTACTTGAATCTTTAATATGTGGATGTAAATCTTGTGATATCCAAAGATCGATCTACATTAGGGCTGTCTTTAGTCGGCTGAAGATAAAAAAATGTTAGTATAATTTTTTCATGTAGTCAACTTGAAATTTCTTTCAGTCAGTCGTGTCACTCTTAAATTCCTAGAACTGCCTCTTGTGACATTCTACTTTTCATTGACCGCATGACCGCATCTGCCTTATCACTAAGGATTCCTTATGTTATGTCAATCTTATTGGTTGCAGGTAATATGCACCCTTGGGAGTGTGGTATTTGCGAGTATCTTACTCATCCGTGGAACGTGGATGTGCATAATGTACTTGCAAGGCAGAAGCAATTACAGGATAGATGAGGGTGATGATGAACATAATGCATGGTCGGGAGCACAACCTGCCAACTAGTTGCAACATGAGATCTTCTACTCCAAAGTTTCTGTCCCCAAAAAACTTACATTTGTCCCTTGGAGATAGTCTTATTTGATTAAAACAAGTTAATTTTCATTATATTTTATGTATGTTTTCAAAAAAGCTTCACAGAAATGCTACTTATGTTAAGTTGAGTTAAATTAAACCAACAATTAAGTTAAAAAATATATGTAAAGTTGATGATTTCCAATCATTGTTCCTTACTAAAATTAAAAGGTTGGACCGTTGTGAAACAACCTTTTTGGTGATGGAGCTCGTATTTTATACGGAGTATGATACTCAGATGCTTTCTCGGGCTTAAACAACCAATTTCACCTTGTGAATATCCCCTAAAGCCGGGCATAAAAGGGATTTTTTCGACTCCAAGATTCTGTGTCCATTCATCCAGATGCTTATAGATTGTCCCAGTTTCTGTAGCCAACATAATGTATGCATATTTGCACATTCTTTTACAAACAGTAATGTTGTCCATTGTAAATTCATAATAATGATATTACCTGATTTTTTATTAATGACATAAACCCTTTGGAGTGTAAGGTTGTTCACCAAATCTGGCAGTAAGTGATACTGGGTCCTAGTGCCTAGTTTGAGGCTGAGCAGGGTTAATCAGAACATAGATGGGTCAGAGTGGGGCCAAAGTGTTAACCAGAGGGGTCTAGGTAGGGATGGACATTGTCCTGCTTAGTGATTCTGGGCTGAGGCTGGACAGTTTTTTGTCTCATGACCAAATTATAAATCTGGTCCAAAAACCGGCACCTGTAACAGGTATAGGGCTAGTTCGACTAACATGAGATTGGCCCGTAACTGGTCAGTGCCGGTTCCTTTTTTACTCAACTTTCAGCTGGAGCCGCATAAAACAAGGATCGGTTATCCTGGTTCGAGTTATGGGCTCTTCTAAAATTGGAACATGAACCGGCCAGATCCAAACTGGAACTTGACCAGAACTGGCTCGAGTCCACCCGTAGTTGTAGGCCACTAGGCGGATTTTTAGAATAGAGTCCGAGAAGTTAACTAGTGTTATTCCAACAACCAACTAGAAATCAAGTACAGCTGACCAGAGGTTGACTATAAGACATTCAGAGTAATTAATTGCTGACTTGTTGACTGGGTAATTAAATGCATATTGATCCCATCTGGAAACTGTTGGAATTTACATTCTATCGTTATGGATTTGCATTTTAATATATGATTGACTTTCTTGTTTCATCAGATCTATTATTTAAGCAATGACACATTTTACTACTTCCAAGTTCCAACAAAACTGCTCCTTTATTCAATTCACACACTATAAGCTTAACATCTGGCTCTTATTTTCTGCATGAAGCTAACTTCTTAAATCTTGATATGTTTGATTATCTCTTTTTATCTTAAACTGCTCTGCACTGCCTTTCTGCGTTCACACTGCCTGCCTAGCCAGTAAGTATCATTTCCTATATTGCCAACTTTATATTTTCATAGAAGGAGAAACAGAGAAGGGTTCTCAGAATTGCAGAGAAGTTGGAGTCTTGATGTTGAGACGGGAGGTGATGATTCGAATCACGATGAAGATGGTCGAATGAAAAGAACTGGTATATATGCATATTTTTCTCGAGTTCTTCAAACCCCATATTCTTTGGATCTTTTCCCTGAACTAATGTGGCATGCATTGTGTTTGTGTAGGAAACATATTGACAGCAAGTGCTCACATCATTACAGCAATCATCGGGTTGGGAGTGCTGTCTCTTGCATGGGCGATTGCACAGTTGGGATCGGTGGCTGGACCGATTGCCATGCTGGCATTCGCCGCCATCACACTCTACACATCCCTTTTGCTAGCTGACTGTTACCGTTCACCAGATGGTAAAAGAAACTACACTTACATGGATGCTGTTAGAACTCATCTAGGTAATCTCCCCTACCCTACCTCTATTACATTCAAGTGGCAGTGCGAGAAAACATACTTTGGGCTGGAATCATAAATTGTAATGCATGGGAGGACAAATGAAAGTTAAAGCATAACACACACATTGATACTTGAAAAAATACTCATTTTGAGGTGGCATGTTTTTTTGAAGTTGTGCCATAGGATTTTTCATAGGGGATAATATTTATTTCATTGCTTAGTTATTTATTTTTAATCATGTGCTCATTTCTATCTTCACACAGGCGGCATGAAAGTCAAACTTTGCGGGTTAGCTCAGTATATGACTCTAATTGGCATCAGTATTGGATACACTATCATCACTGCTCTGAGCTTGGTGTAAGCATAACACAATTATGACTCATCTATTCATTTGTCTTCTTTTTGTAACTAAAAACCATCTGTGATCTGTCTCTTAAATTACAATTTTCACTAGGGGTCATCTGGAAACAGTCTCTTTGTTCTTTAGCACAAGCATATGTTAGGGACCTGGTAGAATGAGAGTAAATAAGAAATGATACGTACTCTAATTTTGTAACAGTAAATTGACAGTAGAAACGAAGAAGAAGATACAGACGAGGCGCTTCGAGAGGCCTCAACTCTCCCAGATCCCAATTCTTTCTCAAACCCCGACTACTCTCTCCCCATACCATTCCTTCTATTTATTCTTTTCCAATGAGGCTTCTCCTCAGTTTAGCTAATTACTAGGCCCAGCCCACTTACTTATTACATCTTATTAAAATACTTAATATTATTTCTATTAATTCCCTCCCCAAATGCTCAGGTCCGTATCATCACTCCCCCCTTTGACAACCACCTTGTCCTCAAGGTGGGGAGTAAGAAACAACCATGCCATTCAACTTCATTCTTGCGCCTCTCCCTTCCCAATACATTGTTGATTTTTGTATCCCTAGCTTCAGCACTTGACCCTTCATCCTCACTTCTTCAGACCCGCATTTCTCTAAGGTCTTCCCAGCCTTTTTATAGAGCTCATTGTTGTCCCGAATCTGGAATTTAGCAGTCTTGTCTAGTCCTTCATAATAGTCAACCATCTGCACATATAACTTGACCCCACTATTCAAACCAACTTTGTTGTCCCCTTTGCCTACTTTCAGAATGTTCTCCATCCATTCAAGGTATGCAGTAACAATTCTTGGATCTTGACAGAACAAGAGATCAGAGAGCATCTTAATGCAGCCGTTACTTGCCAAGCACATAATTTGATTATGAGAGCCTCCTGAGGTGGCCTTAGAGATAGCCCCTGCATCCTTCGGATCATCTACACCTCCTTGATTTATACTGACAGTATCATAAGTCGCATAATAAAAACATAAAAATTTGTCAAATGCTCCACATTTTGCTCCTCCAGTATATAATCATTCTCTTTAAACATATGCATCCACTCGCTCAAGCACTGTGCAGCTCCACAACACTCAACGTTGCTGCCATCAGATTTCAAAGTATCTAAACAAAGCACCGAGTCTGGGAAATTTCCTTTTCTCATTCCCCATATAATAGAGCCCATAGTTCTTACAACAACCGAATAAACCTCCAGAGTAGGATATTGAGGAACTTCAGGTGCAAATCTACTTTCAAATAGCCCTCTACTTGTTTCAGGATCTCCAAGTGTATTTACAACAAATACATAGTAGTGCAACCACCTGCCTACAGAATATATCCTTCCTTGGTTTGCTCGCTCGGATACCTAAACAGCTTTATCCACCAAACCCATCCGTGCCTCGTGATCTACAAATTTCTTCCAGTAAACCAAAAATGCATACTTCTTCATAACATTCCCCTCTGCTACTTTTTCAGCAACTGTCTTTTCAAGCAAAGCTGGCTTTGAAAGTGAGCTGGCATCAGCCTCAACATTCTCTGCCCCTTCCGGATTATCTGGTGGACGTCCTGTGGGTTGAATATCATCATCGTTCGTCTCCCTAGACATGTAATGAATGCCATAGATAGCAGAGAATGTGGGTATGTTTGACTCCCCTTTTAAGATGGAAGACACGTGTTGGTTCTCCAGCTCCCAAACCATAAGGCCTTCCCTGTTGTTCCCTCCAACGGCTTTCAGCCTACCATCTGTGGTTCCAATAGCTATGAGCTTTTGAATAGGGTCAAAAGCCAGGATAGATGCACTTGAATTTACTGATTTGAATGAAATTGCTTGAGAGAAACTACTCTCAGCAAGTCTTTATTTATAAGGCAAATAATTACAAGGAAAGAATCATATGCACATCAATCAGTAATTAATTCATGATTTGATACAATCTGTACAAGAAATATTAAAATCAGGAAGGAAATCATATCAAATCTCAACACTCCCCCTCAAGCTGGTGCGTAGATATCATATGCATCAAGCTTGTCACAAATATATCTTATCCTCGGACCTCGAAGTGACTTAGTGAGAAAATCAGCTAACTGATCATTTGAATTGACAAAGGATGTGAATATTTCTCCAGAAATGACTTTTTCACGAATAAAATGGCAATCGATTTCTATATGTTTTGTTCGTTCATGAAAGACAGGGTTAGAAGCGATGTATAAAGCTGCCTGATTATCACAGATCAGTTTCATAGGCTTCAATTTGCAAAACTTTAACTCAGACAATAACTGTTTCAACCATATAAGTTCGCAAGTAGTGAGAGCCATGGCTCGATACTCTGCTTCGGCACTTGATCTAGCGCCAACACTCTGTTTCTTGCTCTTCCAAGAGATTAGGTTTCCACCGATGAGAACACAGTACCCTGAAGTTGATCTCCTGTCATTTGGACACCCGGCCCAATCCGCATCTGAATACAGTAATATTTTCATAACCTCGATTCGCATAAACGAGTCCTCTTCCAGGTGAACCTTTGATGTATCTTAGGATTCAAACAACTGCATCCCAATGACTATCACATGGCTTATTGAGGAACTGACTAACCACGCTCACGGCAAAGGAGATGTATGGTCTGGTCATAGTGAGATAATTTAACATCCCCACAAGTCGTCAGTATCTTTCAGGATTGGAGATAAGCTCTCCCTGATCTGGCAAAAGTTGAACATTTGGATCAATTGGAGTATCGATCGGCTTACAATCTGTCATCCCGGTTTCCTTCAGAATATCAAGAGCATATTTTCTTTGGGATATGGCAATGCCAGTTTTGGATTGAGCTACCTCAATTCCAAGAAAGTAACGAAGTCGTCCCAATCTTTTGTTTGAAATTGCTGGGACAAGTATAGTTTAAGATTCTGTACAATAAATACTAAAATAAGGAAGGAAATCATATCAAATCTCAACACTCCCCCTCAAGCTGGTGCGTAGATATCATATGCATCAAGCTTGTCACAAATATATCTTATCCTCTGACCTCGAACGGCTCGAAGTGACGTAGTGAGAAAATCAGCTAACTGATCATTTGAATTGACAAAGGATGTGAATATTTCTCAACAAATTTCAATGAATATATGGCTACTCAAGGGACAATTCATCAATCCACATGTCCCCACACGTCTCAACAAAATAGGATTGCCGAAAGAAAACTTCGTCATATCATTGAAATAGCACGCACACTACTGGTTCATGCCAATGCCCCACTAAAATTCTGGGAGATGCTGTTCGCACAGCTGTTCATTTAATCAATCGAATGCCATCTTCTACATTGGATAACAAAGTACCACACTCTATCTTGTTCCCAAAGGACCCCATTTTCCTTGTTCCTCCCAAAGTCTTTGGTTGTACTTGTTTCGTGCAGGATCTTTCCCCTAGTCTTGACAAATTATCTCCACGAGCAATCAAGTGCATATTCCTTGGCTACTCTAGAGTCCAAAAAGGGCACCGTTGTTATTCACCTTCTACTCATCGTTTCTATACTTCTGCAGATGTCAGTTTCTTTGAGGATCAACCGTATTTCACTTCACAAGTGGAAGTTGAATTTGTCTCTCAGGTCTTACCCATTCCTCATCTTACTCCATTGTCACCTCTCAGTCCTCAATTGTCCTCTGCCAAATCACTCATTACTTATTAGCGTCGACCGCAGTCTGCACCTAATGAGGATGTCCCTAATACTGAACCTGCTGATTCACTTTTAGCTCCAGCTCCTTTACCTACTCCGGACCAACCTGAGGCACCTGCTCAACTTGATCTTCCAATTGCAACCGGAATGGTATACGTTCCATTCGGAACCCGCATACTATTTACAACTGTCTAAGTTATCATCGTCTATCTCCTTCCCATTATGCTTTTGTGTCTTCCATCTCTTCTGTTTCCATTCCTAAAACTGTCCAGGAAGCTCTTGCCCACCCAGGATGGCGCCAAGCTATGCTTGATGAGATGGCTGCGCTTGAAATCAATCGTACTTGGTCTCTTGGTCTCTTGATGAGATGGCTGCGCTTGAAACCATAAGGCCTTCCCTGTTGTTCCCTCCAATGGATTTCAGCCTACCATCTGTGGTGCCAATAGCTATGAGCTTTTGAATAGGGTCAAAAGCCAGGATAGATGCAATGGTTTCATAACCCGCAGCAACTACTGCTTTCTTTTCTTCATCAATATGCAATTCTAATAGTGACGTACTGGCAATCAATTCCTTAGAACTGTTAGCACTCTGCAATTCTACAAACTATTCACAGAAATTCACAAGAAAGCAACTGCAACTATTATTCACAAGGCAACAATGGCCGAAGCCCCCAAAGATAGAGATACAACTCTGATCTTCGCAGAATGACTAAAGTTTAAACAGCCTACCAACAGTATCCAGCTTATTACTATTTATAGTAAGTAACTACTCTACTAACCGATAAACAGTTATTAGCTATCAACAACTATAACTAATAACTAACTAGACTTCCTTCTAGAATATACTTTGCCAAAGTACTTAGCATCTCCCCTCGGATTAGTAGAGTCTCCAACAATACTCCCCTTCTGAAAATCCAACTTGTCCTCAAGTTGGAAAGCTAGGAATTGTTGCTTGATGATGTCTTCCCTTTCCTAAGAATCTTCAAAGTCTGGAAGATCTTCACAGTGCACCAGAACCTCCTTCTCTCCCTTAGCATTTATTCCGACATCCTTTATCTTCTCAGGTCTGACTAGTAACTCACACTCCTTTGTCATTCCCATTGGAAGATCTTGATATGTACTAGTGGGTTTCAGAACCTTCTTCAATAAGGAAATATGAAATACAGGATGAACTCTGCTGGCCACAGGTAAACTGAGCTTGAAAGCCACTGAATTAATCTTCTCTAGGATCTCAAAGGGTCCATAAAATCTGGGGTTTAATTTCTGATTGCTCCTGAGGGCTAAACTCCTCATTTTATAGGGCCGTATCTTCAGAAATACACTGTCTCCCACCTCTAACTTC